ACTGATGGTTGTGCATCATAGAAATAAAAATTTTATGTTTCTTTATCAATCTTTATTTTAATTCTCTTAGTTTCCTAATAATTTATTTAAAAAACAGTAATATTTATTATGTGAAATATTATTTTCATCTCAGAGTGGCAAAAATTGGCAAGATTTTACTTCTTCCTGGCATTATTGGCAATTTGCTAGGATTGTCAATTATCCTTATGTAAGCAAAATGAGTCCAAGAATCACAAATGAGAAGAGTAATGAATCACCTTTCATGACACAAGTAATCCTTAAAAATTTGTTTCCTGCGGTGCTAAATGATTTGGCAAAACTTGATGAAATCTTAAAATAAAAAGCAAAATAGTATATTAAAACAATGTTTTTATGATGTGAAAATATCAGAATGTTATTTGCTGACATAATATGGCAATCCTGTGTAGTAAATATTACATAAGATTGATGCAATGTGTACACTATAGCAAAATTAAATTGTTTACTAAATATAAATAATATAAATTATAACATTCATCTCAAGAAATAGTTGAGAAAAGCCATTTTTGAAAAACTAAGACCAATTTTTGGGAGCATCTGGTCAAACAAGAAGAAACATGGTAAATTTCTGGAGCAGAATATTTCATGAAGGGTCATTCCCAAATTTATGGTTCCTTCTGATATTTTTGTTTACCCATATAAGGACAGCTAATAATCCTAGCAGATGAGATTGCAAATTTACTGACTTTTTTATTACTGGTAAACAGTAAATGTTGAAAACATTATTAGCTTACTGGTAAATTATTTATAATTTTTAAATTTTGACTCCAAATGCAAAAATTAAAGCACTAGTAATTGTTTAATTGCAAACTTATTGGTGAGTTGGCAACTAAACAATTACTAGTACACTATGTCCAATTGAATTCCCTTTCTTCTATCTTAAATAGGAATGATCTTGCTGTGTGAAAAAACAGTATACTGTAATTTTTAGTTGCCATGATTACTATAAAAAGTACCCAGTGCAAATGCTCATATTCAAATAAATGCATTGTATTTTGCGAACTGAAATTATTATTGCACTCTAATTATGACAGGTAAAAGAACAAATTGTCAAACTGTCTAGCATAATGCTGTAATATGATACATTAAAATTGTAAAGAACTGTAAAATAATACTTTAAAAGAAAAATGAAGTAAACTATTAATACTTTTTACAGTTTAAATCAGTGGTACCTAAACTATACTCCCTGGACCAGTTCTGGCCTTTGGCACATATTAATCCAACCTGTAAACATATTTGACACCACTTATAAATGATAGAAATAAGTCTAATTTTACTATATATAGAATACACAAAATATTTGTGGCCTGCTCAAGATTATAGGATTAATAGGATACAATGCATGAAAGATCTGCCAAGGGAAAGTGTCTCCCAGGAAGACTTTTTATGACTAATTGACCCCTATTTAGGTATTAGATGTAAAGAAAACCCAAAAAACTCTGTGAAGATAGACCATTAGTCAGGCAGGAACTGCAAGCTACTACCAGTAATGGTCCCCCTAATAAATTATTAAGGATTAAATTAGCCTTATTATCCAGTATATCTCCCAGCGTGATTGCCTATGCATAGAGCCGTAACTAGGCAGATGCAACAGGTGCACCCGTACAGGGCCCATTTGGAAGGGGGGCCCAAACTGCTATTCACAAGAAATTATATTTTTAAATTTTAAATTTTTCTGCCTTTCTACAGCGCGGTTTGGCGATTACGTTTTGCCTTACTTAGACTCTAGGTGTCTGCTCACCAGTGTTCCCAACTGTGGCGACTTTTAGAGGGACATAGTGAGATAGCGGAGACCTCAGACAAATCAGCCAAAAGTAACGACTTTTGATATTGTTTAATTTATTTTTTGAGAAATCTAAATGTATGTTTATTGTTTTCAAATTTACCGATTTTTCTCTACTTTATGAGCTTTCTGGCAACTACTAATATTATTACGATATACAAAACTGTATTTTGTAGATTTTTCTACGGTGTGCAGAGCTAGAAATCTGTAAAGGTAACATTTTGTAACAAAAATAAATCTGCCCGAGGATTTTTTTAAAATTACTAAATTGAAAACGGTAACTCCTGAATAAAATCTTAGTCTCGAGGTTGTAAAAGGCATGCAGAAATTCTGACTTCAATTTTTGCTTTATAGTGGTATGCATATGTGGTGTATACCTGAATGGCGGATTAAGCAGTAAGCAAACTATGCGGGCACGTAGGGCCCCAAAGGGGCTCCTGCAGTCTTTAAAATGCTACTGAAAAAAGTGATTGCGAAGACACAGAAGATAGAAATAGTCCAAAAACGCTTTGATATATATAGATACATGGAAGTAATAAATGATATAGCTTTATGGCCAACAATATTAACAGATGTTATTATTGATCATATTCTTAAAACAAACCAAAAAGTATAGAAAAGGGATTTCTTAATAAACGAAAAAAAAAAGTTAAGATAATGGAAATAGATAAAACACCAAGTGAAGGAAGTAACTTGACACCAGAAAAATTATTTAAAATACAAATTTACAGTGTTCTTGAACCTCTATTGTGTCAAAGAGATTGGCATTATGAAAAAATGAAAACCATCTGCGACGATTTTTGCTTTCTCTGTGGCTCGTCTTTACAATACGTGAGTGTTGCTGGTTTAAAAAAATCAGCTGCAGATCTCGCTATTAAATATAGCAAAGATTTAAACAAGTACGAATTCACAAGTGAAATTGAAAGGTTTAATTTTAAATTAACAGCTCTTATACAAAATATAGAAACTTCATCTCCACTTAATATTCCACAGGATCTTCATGATTTTGGTTTAATTGAGTCTTACCCAAATATCAATGTTGCTCTTCGGATATTTCTAACTCTTCCCATTTCTATTGCTTCGTACGAGAGAACTTTTAGCAAGTTAAACTTAATAAAAAATTGTAAAAGCCTTACTGTCCTTAAATTTTAATATTTTATTGTTAATTGTCTACTTGGACTTTACTTATTAATAGGACTTTATACTGGTTTGATTTTAATTTATACAGTGAAATGATTAATTGTAAAAAAGTGAAAGATCCATTTATATTCGGGATTGGAATTTGTATTTACAGTAAGTTTTAAAATTGTAATTTATTGGTTAAAGGAAAATTTTTTAAATTATACAGTAACTTATCTGTTTGTTGTTGTTACTTTTAGTGTTAAGTGGTAATACTGCTGATGAGTGGCATGCTAGCCTGAAACACATATAATATGTGTACAGAAATTATTACTACAGGTGATATAATAAAGAAATTTTGTTCTTTCCTGAACTAACTCTCAGTACTGTGCCAATCTTTAGACACCAGTATAAAGTCCTATTAATAAGTAAAGTCCAAGTAGACAATTAACAATAAAATATTAATAAAAAATTATTTAAGATCAACCATCGGACAAGAACGATTATCCAATATTTTCTATTATTTCAATAGAATACAATATTGTTAAAAATATTAATTATGATGGTGTAATTAATGAATTTGCTGAAATGAAAGCCAGAAAAATTCAATTAAAATAAATCTTATTAAAAATCTATTGTAATGTATTTTTATTACAATAGATTTTTAATAAGATTTATTTTAATTGAATTTTTATTTTCCCAAAACCAAATAAATTAAGGGGCCTAATTGCAAATTCTTGCACAGGGCACAGAAATGGCTAGTTACGGCTCTGCCTATGCACTTACGTTTCCACAGAAAATTTAATTATGTCACAAATCAATTTTACCGTTTACACGAGTTTCATTTCTATTCACAGTATTGTATGTGAGTGCACCATATTTGCTTGCCCGCCTCCAAAAAGAATTGGTACCAAAGGTGCGACAGATCACATAATTTATACCTTTTAAGCAGGTTTTTGGTACATACACTCTTGGTAATCTGGCACCTTCTAAGAAAGGAACGGCCGAGTCTAGTGTAATTATACATTGACACATCTGTTCAAGAGAACTACATCATAGATACAGTACCTTCACTAGTATTAAATTTGAAATGTCATAAATAATGGTCCAAACCTGAGCATTTCTATATATAAAAAACTAATAGCAAAAATCTGAATTTTATGGTACATTAAGCAAAGGTCATCATACTTAACCTATAAACAGCTGAGATGTTTTTCAGATATTCACCTTTAATACCAAATGAATTGTAACGATATTTAAATATAGATATTAGCTGTTGATCAGTTTAAATTTCCTGTCATGCGGTTTATTAAGGTTATTACATTAATCTATTTTCATTGAATGAAACAAGTGCACAAACCGAAAACAAGTGGCTAATACCTGATGATCGGTGTTTCTTCTAAATCTGGATCGTACTTTTCTCATCCAACTGGGACGTCTTTCTTTTCCGGAATGAAAAGAAACAGATTTGCCTTCTATACCCATTTCACATTTTTTAATGACATTCAGCAGGTCGATCAACAAGTGAGTATTTTAATCGTGCATGAAATGAGTGTATAATATGACAGAAAGCGTAATTTTAAATATTAAAAGAAATTGAATTTAATTAAATTATTAATTTTACTTTCTAAATATCCAGTATTAATTGATATAAATTAATAAAATTTTCTTTAAAAAACATTTTACAAAACAAAAATCCCTTTTCCTTCGGTAGTCTACGAAATTTCCCTATATTATTTATTTACTATGTAAAAATTATATTTTATTTGATTACATTGAATTAAATTATATCAATTTAAAATTACAGCGAATGTTATTTTTATCTACTTTTTCTGTAAATTATTTGATCGATGTTTTTTTTTATAAAAATTGGAAAATTTAAGTAAAATTTTTTAAGATTTAATGTCATAATTACGCTAATTTTAATATATATATATATATATTTTTTTTCATTTTAAGTAATTAAATTTACAATGTAATGAATTCATTTATTTTTTAATTTTCTAAATTTTATTTTATTTTATTTTCTCCCTATGTAAATACACGTTGTCTTTTCTGTGGGGAATATCCCTCTGTTGCTTAATCGTATAACCATCTGAGCTTTGTCGCTCTTCAACGTCATCAGATTGAGTTGGAAGTAAACAAGAGATGAGGTTTATCCCTTGGAAGTTTGGTTTAGCGATATTTCTGTTATACAACTTATTAAAGTTGTGTAATAGTCATGGACACGATCATTCTGAGTCTCCTTCCTTTAAATATACCAGAGAAGCTAATGAGCCTCATCACGATGTAAAACTTGATAACTTTAAAACGGACACAGTTAGAAGTCAAAGTTTAATATGGTTGGAAGCGCTTCTTTCCACGCTTTTAATTAGTATAGCGCCTTTTGCCATTTTATTTTTCATTCCTTTAGATAACAGTACAAAGCATAAGGATCTGTTAAAAGTTTTTCTCAGTTTTGCCTCAGGAGGATTATTGGGAGATGCATTCTTGCATCTTATTCCTCATGCTTTATTAGCTAAAATGAAAGATGTAAATGAACATAGTCATCATCATCATCATCCAAGTCACCACCACCACCACCACCACCATCATCATCATCATGACCATCAACAAGAAAATGATAGAGAAATTCATTTTCATGATTTGAGTATTGGGTTGTGGGTATTAGCTGGTATTGTTACATTCTTAACTGTTGAAAAATTTATTAGAATTGTTAAAGGTGGGCATAGCCATAGCCATAACATTGAAAATTTAAATAGTATTAATAAATTGGAACCAATAGATAATGAGAAAAGGGAAGACGACGAAAACATTCCTAAAAACTGTAAAGAAACTAATGAGACCACTTCAAATGAGAAAAATATTGATAATTTAAAAACAGAAAATAAGGAAACTTCTGAATTGCATGATCATTCTCATTCTGATAATGGTAAATATTTTATTTATTATTTAATTTAAGTGAGCTTCAATAAAGCAGATTTTTAAAAAGTTTTTCCTGTGCTCCTTTTCCCTTCAGAAACAAGAATTTCATGACCTATGTTGCTGAATTCATCTTGGTGCACCAATCATGAATTTACCTTATTTCTTACCTTATTTATGTAGATTATAACCAAAACATGTAACCTTTGAATCTCGTGATGAATTAATGCTCTGGTTGACATAAATCTATAAAAGTATAAAATGAAGCATTAAAACTATATAAACATTGAAAGTGTTCTAACTCAGCATAATTCAAATGTATTTATCCAATTTCAATTTATGGAAATTTTGAATTTAAATATAACTTTTTATTGATATTTTTATTGCAGAATAATAATTTTAACATCATGAAATATAATGACTATTTTTATTTAAAGTGATTAATAGTTTTTGGATGATTGAGATATCAGACAAATGTCTGAGATAACTCAGCTTATATGGATATCTATACATTATATTAGTATTGACACTCATTTTTTTTTTTCCTCTGAAAATCTATGTTGCAATAATGACTGAAGTGAAATAGCCTTTTCAAGATTTCTATTCCTCAGCTAAGGTATTTTCTCAGAATGATTCATGACAGTTTGCATGCTATTTCACTTCCGTTTATAAATCACATCTCTTATCATTGACCTTGAAATCTGTAGAGCCATCATGATGTCACATGCTAACTTGTTGCTTACATTGCAGCTTGTTATCATATAAGTCAGTTTATTCATCTGATTGAGTGACTTTCATTCACAATCATATTACTAACTCCTCTAATGTTTACAAATGTATTTATAATTGAGTTTGATATGCAATTCTTAGACTTCTAACTGTTGCTAAGATATCTACAAATTTATGAAAGGGTCATAAAGAAGAATCAGCATTAATGATAAAAGCTGTCTCTTTTTGAATAATTTATTATTTTATGATTATTTCTTTTCATTTAAAGATATCAAAATACAGTTTCATAAATAAATATTGTATTCAAATAATTTCTGGACTTCATTAGAAAACCAAAATTAGTTTTAATAAATTAAATCTTGGCATAGTTATTTTTAATGAATTGGAATTATTTAAATTTTACATTTTTAAATAACATTGTTCTGCATCAAAATCCTCCATGAAAGAAAATATGACTTTTTTTGTGTATGTTAGTGTGCTGAATATTAATCTGAAGTCCAAAATCTTCTGTTACTCTGTTTTCTTAAAAATATCACATTTTTGCAGAAAAATGCCTCTTTTAGACAAACACTGTTACTATTGTTTGAATAAAATATAAAACCAGAAAAATCATATTTGATTAATGTCAGGAATTATTTTAAAAGGACTTTCTTGGGTCAGATGCCAAGTGGCCCTATTCATCCACCTTGTTAGGTGTGGAGACATGGCCTGTCAACTACATAAGATTCAACAGAGATTCAAGGAACTCAGACATAGCATGTCATGTGTGTAAAAACCAGCTGGACTGTTTCTACTACATTTGTGGANTACTTTTTCAAGGCAAGTAAAGTCTTTTTTTATGCGAATTTTTTATATGCGCTTTTCTGTAGAATGTATCCACTGCATAAAACGAGACCTTACAGTATAATATTCATTATTATTTTGATCTTGGAAAACAAAATAGTATTCAGCCCAGATTTGGCACCAACTGACTACCATCTATTTTTCACTGTGCAGAACCATATTGCCAATATACAGTTGAATGACAATACCCATGTGAGAACAATACTTGAGACTCTCTTCAAAGAAAAATCCTAATTATTCTATTTGTGAGATTGAAAGTTTGCAGCAAAAGGTGACAAGATGTGATTGATATTGATGGTTATTACCTAAAAGATTTAACTGTAATCATTGTTGAGTTAATTGTCAATAGAATTTATTTCAAAATGTCTAAATTTCATTTTTACAATCTGATATAACTTATCCAAAACTAATCTGGCTTGATACTCTGGCCCCAAGACCAATATACAGTGGTGCCTCGTGTAACGTACTTAATCCGTTCCAGGTGCACATCTGTTAAGTGAATAGTCCGTTATACGAAACAAATTTTCCCATAGAAATGCATGTTAAAATATATAATTCGTTCCGCAGCATAAAATAACCGTACTGTACCATAAAAAAATGAAAATGGAGCAGTCAACCAATTATGCCGGGTAGTCAGATGTGAGGAGGAGGTGGAGGAACACTTTCTTCACACATTCATACAGATACAGACTTTTTACACATTGCAGCGGGTCTTTTTTTATTGTTTTTTAATCGGATTCAGATTCAGGAGAGACTACCTGAGCTTGCAGGGTCAACTCCTCTTGTTCCATCCTTTGTTTTTTGGCAGCTGGCTTCTTGAAAAACATGTCCAAGGTGGTCTGTTTCTCTTTCTTCAACACCTGTTGGAAATGACAGGCAAGAGTGTCATTGTAGAGATCATTGATCCTGTTGGCCTTAGCTCTGTTTGGATAATGAGTGTTGGTAAACTCCTGAACCTCTCCCCATTTGACAAGGAAGTTTTTGTCAACTTTCACTCCTTCTGATGATTTCTTGCATTGTTTCAATTGAAATCACTTTTCTGTTTTTTTAGAAGCCATGATTTGCACAACACTTGAATAAATGTAAATACCCTGCACTGTGTTGATGTACCTAATAAACAAGGGAGCAAGCCTAATCCCAATGCTCTGTACTTCAGATATACTGATAATATATTCTAATAATACTAACATATTATAAAAATAAAATATTGTCATTGGCAACAGCAAAAGAGTGGAAACATCATTAGCACTTGTTCGTAGAAAGTCCATTGGTAGCCTCACGTAACTGCCGAACGGAAAGTCCATTGCTCGAGTCACGTAACAGCCAAACAGAAAGTCCATTATTCGCAGCGTCCGCTATTCAAGGCGTACGTTATACAAGGCACCACTGTACTAGAACAGTGGTTTCCAACTATTTTTCATTAGCATACCCCCGTGGTATCTCCAACGAGCAACGCATGCGCAAATCTCGCACTGCCTGTTTGTAGAGAGTGTCGCCATTTTGAATTTTATTTTGACTCGGTTCTCTGTCCCCGAGTACCTATAAGTCTGGTATTTTTTTTATTCACACATGATTTGGGCACCTAATACTTTGTGCCAAATTGCAATTTTTGACATGTATTCCTTCATACCTCTAAGCTGGTAACACAGCAGGCAGTACAATTTTATAAACAAGACATAGTCTTGTCAATAAAAAGTTAATAAAAATACTGAATAAATAATGAAAAAAATTACAGCTTGTAGAGAAAATCTGGAGAAAATAGCTATATCCTTTTCCTTGCTAACAATAAAAAATACTTTTTATAAACAAAAGAAAACTTTTTTCAAACAACATGTGGTGATATTGTTGAGAGATAATAAGAATAACAGTAACACACCCCACCATCAAAAGTCTGTAACATAATCACTAATCACACATAATGGTAACCCCACTACTATTGACCGACTACACAACATTTATTGATATGTTGTATTGTACAATCGATAGCATAAGTTTTTATTTCTATATTTGCATTTTGAAATGTATAATAAAGTTTGTGATTGTTGCAAGGAACATTTTTTACATAATAATTTTTTAATACTATTAATTTGTGATACATAATATATTATTTTTTCTGCCATAATAACTAACTTTTTTCTGTACCCATAAACAACCTATCGCGTATCCCTGAGGGTACGCGATAGGTTGCTCAACCCTACAATTCTAGTACAGCGCTGGGAATAGCTGTACTAGAATATGCAACACAACTTTTATAATCTTGTTTTACTTGTATATTTTAATCACTTCTCTCATAAACTTGATGATAATGATATTAATTAAAGCATCTGTCAATGAAATTGAATATTGTATATTATATTAAAGTGTTATGCTGTTTAATTGTTAATTTGTTTATTATTCAGTTAATTTTTTTATATACATATAAATAGTAAATGTTCAAACTTTGAGTATGGAGTTATTGTTTGCTACTGTTAAATATTTTTTGTACACACACAATAGTTTTTGGGTTGTTTATATTTTAAACATATATGGATAAATTTTATCTTGTATCATTATTTATATCAAAAAGAGATTTAATTTTTAAAAAATCATTATTAAAAAATTCCATCTGGTGATTTATATAAATTAAGACACACAGATTTGGACTCCTTAATGAATGAACCAAAATCTGCATTCTTACATTGTCTAACCATGAATAAAATCTAAAATAATATGCCCTCGATACAAAACAGCCAGAGAATACTATCTTTGACGACAAATATTTTCAGACAGTCAAACTCTGTGGAATATACTAGATGATAATGGACAAAGTCAATCTACAATTGCATATCTGAAAGCAATAAACTTATATACAGAATTCTAGGACATACAACAGAAAGATTTTGACATATTAAAAGATCCAAAAGGTATACAGACACATTACTGGCTAGACCTGGCACTCTTTGGCTTACCTAAGCCTTTATATCGAAAAACCCTAAATCCAACCAACCAATCATCTAAGTTTAGTTTAATGTTACAATAAATTGTTATTTTGTATTGTAAGATTAAATCCATGTATTTAAATCTATTTAATAACAATTTCATGATATGGATAGGTTATCATGTAGAGACAATAATTATCTAATCAGCTCTTTAATTTTGATATTTATTTTTAGAATACACTTGTAATTAGTGCTCTTTTTCTAAAAAAAAAACAAAAAAATGACTGTTAACATCATACATGGTGACTGAACATATAGTATAGACATGGTGACTGAACATATAGTATAGAATTGTTTTACTGAGTAACTGCCAATATTACATACAGGTAACCCCCATATAACACGTCACTTCTATAGCACGGATTCGCTCTAACACGGTTCGAGAATTGGTACCATCCCCTGTATAACACGGTACTTTTATAGCATGGATTCATTCTGACACGGTTTGAGAAATGAGTAA